GGGGGCGGAGGAGGAGAGATTACAGTAATTGAGAATATGACTACACCGTGCGTTAAGATCCATGCGATATTCTAGAGCGGTGTATTTCTTTACTCTTTCAAGATTTGATATGTTTCGTTTGCAAATCGAGATGAGAAAACTACACATAATTTATTCTTTCTCCTCCGTTTCTTCACAGGTAAACTTCATTGATGGCTGCCGATGTTTAGGTTGAAATCGCTTTACTCGGCAGATGACGGACAATGAGTGCTAATAAATTCAACAGACGTCATCCCGACAAGCTTAAATATACAATAAAGCACCCTTGTATAGATGTTGAAGAAATAGAGGGCAATGGAATCAGTCGTCTTAATGTCACAGACCCAAACGTTACAGAAAGGTCTATCAAACAGTAATGGCGTAGATATACAGAATATCTCAAAGTATCCAACGCGTCGCATCTGATTGAAACTGAGAAGGACAAAAAGTATGCAACCACATCTGAGATTCCGAAGAATTTGAAAATTCATCCTTAGAAGATGTAGGACTGACAAAAGCTGGTTCTAAATGTCGCACACGGACAGAATAATAATACTGAGATATACGTTATTCCTTGATGAAACGCTCTATAGAGACAAGTTTTGTCAGAATAAATGTGTCCACTTCTACGTTAAAAACCAAAACTTTGTTTTTAAAATCTGTGTATTTGAATTTTCTGCTGTTATAATTGGTTAACTAGTCCGACAAAATATCACATGTGATACTGTAGTGGCTTAACAGGTTTCTAATTTGACAAGTTTGAGGAAGCTCATGTTTTGACACAGAGTCTGGTCGAATATTGTCTTGTTTAACAGCCCCCGGGTCTGATGAAAATGTAGTGGGGATAATGAATTATAAAGACGGGATGCAATATCGCATCAGACAGCGTTACTTCATAAACAATCTGTCTATTCAGGAATCGAACTCATGTCTTCTGCGTGCAGTTGCAAAGACAATAACTGCTACACCAGAGTCGTTGGTCCTCGGGATCCAATGACTTTGCGATTTTTAACAGTAACCAGTGCGTGGGAGGGAGGATTTTTGGTTCCCTTTTGTAGCAACCTGATCTATGTGTAGTTGGTTTCTAAACGGAAAGGTTGGCAGACCGCGAGGAGAGAGACAAGACTATAAAACATGTCTCTCTCTCTCTCTCTCTCTCTCTCTCTCTCTCTCTCTCTCTCTCTCTCT